ACCCAGTCTATACTTGTATGTTGTGCGCATCACATAGTTAAATCTAGGCTAATAACCGGAATAAGAACACACAATGTTTTTCAAAAATAGATATCATGGTTAGTAGCGGGGGTGCTCACGAAGTGACCTTCCCCAATCGTACCCAAGTTCCCGAGCCGAGGCAACTTTGGTATGACGGACACGTGGCCTTTTGGCACCGAGTCAGGGTTTCCTAAATTTCCCATTAAAAAACATTTAGGTGGCGACTCTGTATCTGGCAAAGCAGTCCATGTTTGGCACTTCTTTCAAAAATCAGTTTTCTCAAAACGATTTGCCGGATTTGGACTCTTTGGTTCAGACTTAGAACCGTGACAAATTTGAGAGTCCTGAGCTGTAGTGACCCCAAATATGAACAGAACGGGAGCTCGTTCCTCCCGGGGCGTTCGGGGACGTCTACACTCATGAGTATGGAAGCAATACATACAAATCAGATTAGTCCATGAGAGCTGTGCGTAAGTCAAATGAAATGTCAAACATCTTCACATGGGTTACAACTTAGTACAATGAAGTAAAGTACTTATTACATCTTGATCAAAAGGTTTCTCAAGCCAACGTGTGCAAAATACAAGTATTACAAGTCAAGAAGCATAATTTTCAAAACTGCCGACGTGAATACAAGTCAAGCCGACATAAACAAAAATCCAAAACAAGCTCGCGAATCACATCTAGGCGTCACCGCCTTCTTGCTCATCACCTACATATATATAGAGAGGGTGACCTTGGATACTCAGTGAATGACATAAATAATAAAGGGTTTGCATGAATATTAGCCAAAGTCCTTTCAAAACGATACATATCAAAACTTTATATAACAAGGGATGGACTTCGTCCATCTAACAAATCTTCAAAGCTTCAAGGGATGCTTACTAGCATCAACATATTACAAATGATGACATACCGAACAACAAACCCATGTGATAAACCGTCAGTGGCAAAACAAGGGAATAATCGACCCGGAATCGATTAAACGAACCCACCCGCACAAGGCCGTTGGTGGCAAGGGAGATATCTCGAACAAGAGTGCTACAAAAGTTTAGAGTCCTTTAGCACAAAAGGACCTATGCTACAAAGGCTTAAAGTCCTCTAACATGAAAAGGACTTGTACTGCGAAAGTTTAGAGTCCTCCAGCACAAGGGACTTTCCCAGAATGTCATCCAAAACAAAGCTAATAATTGATACACAAAATAGGGATAATCATTCATGCTTGGCAAATACTTTTATCAAAACGAGGCGAAGTAAACTTTATCAAAACATTATAACATAGCTTTATTAAAAATACCACTCATATAGTTCTTCAACGTCGGGGTTAAGGCAAAATTTCGAGTCCTACAAACACATAACAAAGTCCATTGAACGTACTTTCAAACAAGATTGACATGCAAACGGATGATCTCGACATTCATCAAAACTAAGTTAAATCAAAACAAAACACTGTTTCTCATCTCGGGAGGACGTGCTGGGCACCAACCAGGTCTTGGCCGAGGTCCCACACCATCTTGCCGAGGTGCGGTCTCGACGGCCATATACAAAAGTGAAGTCGGGAAAAATCTGGGTTCCCCTTGGAGGAACATGAAGAACATGAAGATGGAGAAGATGAAGAACATGCATGCTAAAATCATAACTTGTTACTACAAGGTCTGAGATTTTGTGCTGTGAGTTTGGAAACACGGACCTGGGCACCCATAGTCAAAGATCTTGTGAGAACAAACACAAAAACATGGTTCTAGATGCAAACTTTCGGGTCAAAACGAGACTTTTCTTCAAGAACACAAGAACACTATTTTCTCTTACTAAAACCGACTTTAAATCAATGCATGGCATGCAAAACAGATTCGATCGTGCAATGCAGCTAAATGATCAATAAGAACAACAAGAGTAGATTAAGATTCTAACCTCAAAACTAGGATCTAACGGTTCGAACTCCAATGATCAAGCTTGGAAGCCTACTCTCTCACTCAAAACTTTTCTTTCTCTTTCCTAGAGCCTCTCTCTCTAAAAGACAAGATTTGATACAAAATGATATGTTTTTCTCGACAGTCACTGACTTAACGCTCTGTTGGGACACGTGGCATCAGCTGACTGGCTCTACTAAAAAAGGTGACTGACTGACAAGACAAGACCATGACAAGGTGTGTTCAACAAGCTAGACAGCAAGAGCACTCTAGCAAGTGATGATCTTGGCTAAGGGCAAAGCTTTGGCAAGTAGGGTGACAACGACATCGGCTTGGAAGGACAACACTTGACTAAGCTGTGCCACACCTTGGCCTAGATGTGCCACACCTCGGTCTAGGTCATACCATTCCAGGAACAAAATCACTAGGGTGCAAGGACAAACATCTCAGCCTAGATGATACACGTCTCGGCCTTGGTGCTGCACACCTCGGCCTAGATAGCAACATCTCGACAAATATGCCCAGGTGGAGATGGAGGTCAACCGAAGGGGTTCCAAGATAGTTCTAAGTGACAAAGGGTTCGAAGGTGACTAGGCTTAAGATGATCTCGGCAACACACCAGGCAAGAACAAAGTATGCAAGAAACACTCAAGTAAAACAAGGCAAATTTGCAGATGCAACACAACAAAACAAGATTATACATAAGTGTATGCAAGTATGACTAAGTTGAAGTGAGGGTTATTACAGTCATCCAAGAGACTACGCAATGTAGTTAATATCCAAACGTAGTTATCAATCAGCTCAATTCGGAGATATGCAAAGGCTATGGAGAATGACATATCAATGGATGTCACACCAACTATCTCAAGAAGAGGAAGACGATATCGATTTTTCTTATATGTGTAATCCATGATCAACACTTTTGGAAATGAACGGAGCAAATCTAATATAATAGGATGCGCACAAAACAAATCTATGATAGTCATCGTGTTGTTGTCACACTAATGCCGCTCAATGTAATTATGCTTTTCTAATTCATCCAACAACTGTTGCATCTGTGATCTCCCAGCTTTCTCAATAATATTATTCCTATGATGTACATTGTGAATGGTTTTCATAGAAGTTACATTCAAAGTATTCTTTTGTTTCAAGGTAACCAAAATCTCTTTTGGTCTGGCCATACTTTTGGACATATCCACTAATAGTGATGTTTCCTCCTCAGATAATCTCTCTGCAAATGAATGTCCTTCAAAATGTTTAGCAGGAGCATAGTTATGCATTCCACATGCTACATCTACCATCCAATTATCATCAGCTATCAACTTACGAGCCCTGAACTCAAAAAGACACCTGCATTTCTTTGCACCCGTTATCTTCACAATTTTTTTGTTTGAATCATCTCCTTTTAATTTCTCATGAGCTCTGCATTGACCACTTCTCTCACAGGCAAGATATATCCTTGGTGTTCTATGACCACCACCATAGTCCGATGTCTTGATGACAATCACAAAACCATTTTTTCTTCCAACATCCTGTACCCAACTGAGCAATTCTTCTTTGCTCTTGAAAACCTGCATGTCAAATTAACCAAAGTCATTAACACATGCGAAAAAAATATATATACTAATTTTTGACACGAGATCACCTCATTAGTAATAAATTGACTTGTGTAGTCAACAAGACACTCAGATCCAACATTACTGCATTCTGTGGATGCACAGTTTTGGAAAAAAAAAAAAATTTTTGTACGCGTTCGGCAGTACAGAGTCAAACAAAGCAGATATGTTCGACTATTGATAGCTGAATAGATATTGTCTGTTCGACACTTAGAAACTGAAACTTTGGAGTCTGTTCAACACTAGTCAATCGAACAAAGACAATTTGTACGGTTATGCATAGTCGAACATGAACATACTATTTGACTTTGGATAACTGAATTAATACAAACGATTTACCACTCAGCAAATACACGAAAACAAAAAAAAAAAGAATGAAAAAATAATCTTTTCCTTGCTCCATTGTTCCAAACCACTATTGCCAGATGCATCCATCATTCAATCTAATCAAAATCTTCAATAATATGTATATTTTTGGTTGTTTCTTTTAACGGTTTTGGATTTTTGTTTTAAGATTTTTGGATTCTTAACAGACAAGATACGTAAGTAACATTTGAAATTCTTGATGTGTATTATATTCATTATTGTCCTTATGGTAATTATACAAATAGTGTGTATCATAACCCTTTATCCTTTGTGGTCATTTTATCTAAGGTTAAAATTGTAATAAAAAAAAAAAACTAATTATTGGTATGTCTTGAAATGAAAGGTGGTGTGTAAATTGAGGCACCCATGGACTTTGGGTAAAAAAAATTCAAAATTGAATTTTTGGGCTGAGTGTCCTTTTTCTTTTTTTTTGTCAATTACCAATTATATCTTTATTTCCAATTCTTTATCAAATAACAATTGTCATACGTGGTAAATTCTTGAATTTAATATTTTTATACGACACCATAGCAATGTTGGAAACAAGAATTCAAACACCGAAAAACAAACACTAGAAATATGTTTTTTCATATTTTTCTGTCTTTGAATTTTTGATCCATAGCACTGCTCCATATTTCTTGGATAGTGTCACATTTTTAAGTATATGACAAATGAAGTAGAATGTTCATTCTTTTAACTTCCTTATAAAAATAACCATTTATTTATAACCACAAATCAGAATTATATTTGTTATGTATTTTTCATTATTTACAATGGTAAATAGTGATTAACGATTTTAATTTTAAAGTATTTTTTTAATTAATCCTTAATCAAACATAAGATGAATATCCATTCCATATTCATTCCAATGAATTAAAAATTAGTATTTGTAAATCTAATGGTATAATTTTAATAATAATTGGTTTCAGAATTTTCTTTTCAAGCTAATTACTCAAACTAAAATCATTAATTGTTTTAAGTTTTAACTACCATTAAACCTTCACAAAGGTACTAACATTTGCAAATAAGTTTCCTTGATTATGATAGTAGTCTACTAGACTACCACTACCAAAGGGGAGGGAGAGAATACCAATTTAAATACATCCAGAAAATTCAATTTATTTGCAATAAATAAATAATTCTCCCTCCAATCAAATACATAATCATTACATGAATACATTAATCATTACATTATAAATAAATGCCCTACTAACTAGCTTGATGTTTCAGTTAATTTCATCATAAAATCTACAACTAAAACAGTTACATGGCATTTGTCACAAATCCCAAAACATCTCAAACATTTATACCTTCCACCATTTCCTTGCAAACTGAGAGAAAATAGCAATTTATTGGTTTATGTCAGACCTGTGAAAGAAAAACCTCATGGATCGACTGTAACATACCCGGTTCAATGATTTCAGCATAAGCTATGTCCTCTTGTCTTCTTGACCCACGCAATGCAGCTCAGAGCCAAGTTCAGAAAACTTTAGCTGGATGGAGCTCAAACTGCAACACACATCAAGCATGTTTATCATGAAAAGACAGGTTCTCCAAAAGAATAGCTCTCCTCCAAGTTTGTTCACGAAACTGACGCCAACAACGCCAACACACTGGATCCATCTACTTTCCCAACATAAATTCCTTCTCGAGTATGGCAAACATTACCCTTAATCGATCTTGCAGACCTGAAAGAATGTTCTTTGTGATTTTTTTCTGATTTTTACTATTTTTCTGCCATGCAATTCCAATAAACACTTGGACATTACATCCAGTGGATCTTGAAGGTATATCTTCAGCTTGGTATCTTAGGTTAAGCTGCAAATTCAGATAATATATATTTGAGCCATCTTTTAGACAAGTAAATTATAACAAAATGATGAGAATATATTACAAGCAGCTAAATAAAAGTTTGAGCTGTCCATACATTGAAATAGTCACCAAGTGGAACCCCATGAAGAGTCATGACCTCTTCGATAAGCCAACCATTTCTATCAGGAAGTGGAGATCTTTGTTGTGTGCTTGTCACCTCTCCTCTATAACGGGAGACACGATTATCAAATTTGTAATAAACCTGCCTCTGATATACATCAGCCTTGTCAAATTCCCAAGGACTGTAAGAATAATTAAGACAACCAGCCCTCTCAATAACCTTGCGTTCCATTTCACTCCCGTTGAATAATTGCATGAAGAAACTGGTCTGAAGTGGCCGACAAGATACAACTTGATAATCAATCATTCAAACTTTGACAAATATAGTTTACTTATTTAAGTAAATTAACAAGTTTAGAAAGACAAATTGCACTTCCGTGTCTACATGGGTGGACACACATGCATGAAAAAAGAGAACACATGCATAAGTGTTATTTACATGCCTCACCATCGTAGCATCTATTGTACCTCTCCATGCAGGGAGAGCAAGGGAGAACAAAGAGAATGGAAAGAAAAAGCAGAGAGAGAGAGAGAGAGAGCTTACAGGAACAGAGAGAACGGAAGAGTAAACCAGAGACATGCTGACATCCTCAGTGCCCAAGTAGGATCCACTCTCTTCTGTTTGGAGGGTTTTAGCTTCACTTTCCTCCTCAACCACTTGGAGGCTTTTAGCTTCAGATTCTTCCTCGACTATTTGTACCTTCTGCTCAAGACTCAATGCTCTTGCCTTCCAAAGCGCCTTGATTGTCCTGTTAAAGCATCATTACGTTTGAGTCAGAACAATAAACAATGCTGTATTTCATTGTCCTTTTACTTTGTACAGCCTAGATTGCTAAGGATATCTAACCATTATCTCTTTTTATTTCACATCAAGCAAGCATAGAAACCCACTCATGTCTGTTTTTACTGCTTCAAGATGATTCCGATCTATATCTTATCACTGCATGAGCATTTATATAAATGAAGAGTGAGGGATTGGGATACAGCCACAGAAAAGGTGGCAAATGTAATGTTTCAAGCATGTACCTCATAATTTACTGATGTAATCATGATGCTGATGTATAGGTGCACAAAAAACAAGGTCATATTTGGTTCACTGAAATGAGGTGAAATAAAATAAAATAATCATTCCTCAGTCTACCTGTGGAAATGAATACTTCTTTACAATGGTGAACGATGATTCCATTTGCAATACATTTTCCATCATATTTTTAGTGAACCAAAGGTGAGAATGGACATTATGATGAAATGATCATTCCATTCCAGTGAACCAAACACTTCATCTTATTTTTAGTGTTGTTTCTCTGTTACTTATCCAGGATGATTCCTTTCTATAATGCAGGCCTTTATTTATGGAAACATTATTATGATACTTGAGAACCAATGTGGCAACAAATGAGCATGTCTAAAATGAGAATATTAACATTGTAAAGTGACAAGCAAAGTTTACAAATCCATTTCAGCAGGCATTTATGCTTTTCTATCTGAAAAGAATTTCATGTTAACACATCAAAATAGTATTTAATTCCCATTACAGTTATGAAAGTACATAGCAAAAGAAGAAGGAACAATTACACAAGTTCAATATAAATAAGCATGAAAAAGATAAAGCATGAACTAAAACTAAGCTTCCCAATTAGGTGGCGTTGACTATATGAATCATTTTCCATCATTCTGCTTGTTGGTACATACGTCTATCTCCATTACGTGGCATTAAGACATCATAACCATACTATGAGTCAGTTGGCACCATGTGGCAACCACGCAAGGCAACACATGGGCCAATGATGAATCTTCACGTATCTTGCTAAGCCTAAGTACTCAGCTAAGGCATCTCCAAGGACACCTCAAGGATCTCACTACATCTTCAGGATTTCACTTCAACTTTTGAATCCCGAATCCAGCTTGTTTGTTTTCATTTTTCAGAAAACACTTTTCAGAAAATTCTACGTTCTTATTTTCCGTATTTTTTTGTTTTTACTGAATTTTTTTAATATTTTAAGCAATTTTTTTACTTTTTAGAGACACCTAACATAAATACACCTAAAAAGTAAAAAAATTGTAAAAAATATCTTTTAAAAATTCACTAAATACCAAAAATATTGCTCCTTGGTTTTCTTTAGGTTTTGAGTGTTTCTACAACTGCCCAAAACCTCACATTTTGATTTTGTTAATTGGGAGTTGCCCGACCAAATTGGACCATCTAGTTCTACCCACAGTAAGACTATTTTGGATCCATCTCGATGATTTGCATCGGTTATTTTATAAGATTCTGTAAACGTATCATTCATAGTTGTCAAATCGGGATTCGAATCGTGAATCGAAATGGTATTGTACCGAATCGCGAATCGAATCGAATCGTGAATCGTAAAGATTCGGTCACATTTTTTTAATTATATAGAAAATATATCTACACACTTAGATATTAAATATATCTAATAAATATGAAATATTTAGACACAAATCGCTAAAAATATTGTTTTAAATGATGATCATGTGGTTCAAGTAAGAAGTTAACATTGATTCCAATGTTTACCACTTCACCTTTTTCCCTTTTAGATACTATTTATTATCAATTGTTCTTAATGAAGAAAGCAAACGAAGACAAACTTTCAATTTCCAAGTAACAATAACTCAAAAACAATGTTTTTAACTTTTTACAAGGTTAAAAAACCAAAATCTTCGAACTTTTTCAAAAATCTCACTTGATGCCTTCAAAAAATTCGTTTTGTAAATGCAAGTATTTAGATAAAATTGAATATGTAAGCCTAGAATATTGTAGAGAGAGAAAGTTCTTTTTTTTTTCCCCCCCCGCTAAAGTTTGTGTATTTGAGAGTAAATAGGGAGGAAGAGAAAGTCAAAAGATGACATATAGTAATCTTAGAGACCTTAAAAAGGTTGTATGAACCATTTTTCAACAATAAAAACTCAAAAAAGAAAGCCAAATATCGATTTTAGTGAATTGAATTGATTCACGATTCACCGATTCGATTCACCGATTCACCGATTCGATTCGCCGATTCACCGATTCACCTACGATTCATAGCTATTTGCGATTCACACAACCTGTTCGAATCGATTACCTACTGAATCGAATCGAATCGTACGATTCGAATCGCGAATCGTACGATTCTAATAACAGAGGTATCATTCATATCAAAAATCAATTTGATCGAATATAATTAAATAAGTGATTGGATCATATTTGACTGAAAAAAATAAGAAATTAATTATTTAAAAATTATACTGTCCGTTAATTATTTTTCAAACAAATATTATCTAATCAAGTGTTTATAGTAAAAAAAATGTTTAAAATTTAAAAAATATTCACTAAAAACAAAAGAATACGAAAACCAAAAAACTCAGTTTTCAAAAAACTTAATCCAGAAAACTCAAACCAAACACACTACATCTCAAGGATCTCACTCCATCTCCAGAATCTCATTGCACCACCGATCTCCCAAATGAGATCTGTCACATGCGATCCGTGATCTCAAACTTACAGTTAGCTCCTCACATGATCTGTGATCTCCAACTTACACTTAGCTCCAGAAAGCCTAGACTAGGAGCAGGGACTAGGATCTCCACTCGGGATCATCGAAGGACCTGTGGCTTGGAGATTAGAGTTGGGAGATCTTTAAGGGTCCCGCTTGGAGAAAATTGGTCAGTCTTTGGATGAGAGAGGTTCCAACCAAGACACATGATGCCTCCACAGTACCTGTACCTGCAGCAGTGACCTGTACCCGTGGTATAGCATGCCCGACACTGTGTAATCGCATGTGAACTGTATGGATGATACATGCATCTGATCTGTTGACCACTTTGATATGGTTGGAGACAGACGATTGCTTATAGAAGATCGTTCACTTCTCCTAACATTGATATTGTCTAAGAGATTCATCCGTATCATCAAACTAGAGAATGCAGTCATTTGTGCTCCAATACTCCAACCTCCTCTATATAAGGAGATTTCTCCCAAGCAATTATCATATCTCCACATAACTCTCTTCCTTTCAGCTCGGAAGATCTCCACTGTCTCCCTCTCTCACAAGAGTGACCACTACCTTCCCATAGGCCCATCTGGACAGCTCATCTACCATCATCCATATCGCTCTATCAAGAGCTATATGCTCAGTTAAAATAAATAAAGTTTATATATATTTTTATTACCATATCCCATGCCAATTTAAGTCTTCTTCTCCACCAAACATTTTTATTTTTATTTTGTAAAAATTTATGTATTATTGATTGATATATTTCTTGATTGATTACAAGATTGATTACAAGATTGATTACAAGATTAATAAATTACAATTCCTATACAATCTATATATAGAAGAAAATGTGGTAGTAGGTGTAGTGGAGGTGATAGTGGGTTAGGTGAAGTGGAGTGTGTGGTGAAGTGGAGGTAGGTGAAGTGGAGTGTGTAGTGGAGTAGGTGAAGGGAAAGATGGGAAATTCTAACATATTTATTTATTTATTTCTTGATAAATAAATATTTTTATTTCCAATGATCGTATCACTCTTTCTTATCGTGTCATCTATGTGCCTTCGTTATACATAACTAAACCATCTTAATTTGTTCTCTCTCTCAATTGATCTTCAATTGGTACTACTACCATTTCATGTATATATATATTTTTTCAAATTCTTTATTTCCTGGTTCTGCCATACATCCACCTAAGCATCCTCCTCTCAGCTACAGTCATACATGTTTATTAGTTGCCCGACATTCTATCATGTAAAGTATTGCTAGCCTTATAGATATTCTATAATATTTTCCTTCCAATTTTGCTGGTATTTGGCGATCACATATGTCAAAACACTCCTCCACTTGAGTCAACCTAACTTGATTCACTTAGCAGCGAAATTCAACCCCAAAAAGGTAAAAGAAATTGGCCTAAGAAGGAGAAAATATAACAGAAGGAATTAATAGAATGAAATAAAGAGAACCAAATGGTCTAAATCATGTGAAATGACTGAATAGATCAAAATGGGCTGAATTGTAATTATAAAACTTAAGACACGGTGGAGTCTTCATGTCAATGGAACATAATTGCTGATACTGGAATAAAGTTAAAAATGACAATTTGAGGGAAGCACTAGAAGTAGCAGCAACTTAGCACCATTTGGGGGGTTTTCTTATCATGTAAGTCTGCATGATTCATAGTTAGGAATACCAACGAAGGTTGCTAGAGTCCTTCAGGTTGCGCAATTAGCATATTTAATTTTGGTTAGGCTAGTGTCCAAGGTTGTGTCCAGTATCCAAGGTGTTCTCTGCTTAGTGTGAGAGGATCCGTGTACATGTGTACCTGTGGGTACATGCAATAAATCTCATTTTATAAATGTTTCATACAAACCCCAACCACCCACCACACACCCAACCCAAAAAAAAAAAAAAGAAGAGTAAAAGAGAAGAAAGTAAGTCAAGGTGGTCTACTGAGCTGGGGAGAAGACTTTCAGAACTAAAACAGACTGCAAGGTCCAGGTTGAAGGTGCTTAAAGACAAGTAAAAGACAGCAAAATAGGATAAAATAAGTTCAAAAAAATAAATAAACAGAAAAATGCAGCAAAAGCTGATTAAAATCAAAAGTTTTCTATCATCAAGAAAGTTTTTTTGCTGATAAAAAAAAAAATCAAAAGTTTTCAAATTAGTGGGGCAAAGAAAAGCTGAATTGTGTATTTTAAAATTTCCAGTACCTGTGGGCAACATTGAAAGATACAAAAGACTGGAAATGGAACTTTAGCCTGCCTTCTGAATCTTGTGTTTTTGCACCATGCCTTGCATCCTCACCTCTGCCCGGCCTTAAAGTAATGACAACAATTGGACTGCCCATTGATGACAAAGTAGGAGGAAACACTTGAATGTCTTCAATGTCTTCCCAGAGAAAAAAGAATTTCGTCTTGTGTCCAAATAGATCTGCATGGAAACCTATTATTCTTGCTGAAAGAAATAGGCGGCCCTGCAGAAGAACAATTAAAATTTAATTAGTTAGAACTTCGTAACCCACAAAAGGAAAGATGGAATTTTAAAGAAGAAAGAAAAATAATGATATTAAAAATTAGAACTGTTATGGGAACACATATCCCCATTTGGAGATTTCACAACACTAGCTGCAACAGTACCTGCAGAGGCATTTTGCGTTTCAAGTGACAAGTAAAATCATTGATGAGAAATTCCTCTGGTGGAAGCACAAAGAGTTTCTGAAATGCTGAATTTGTTTGAGGAGACCGAAGTTTTATCTACAGAAGTTTTCATTTAAAAGAAGTAAGACACTGATAATAAAATCCACTGGCAACATGAATTTCCAGGACAGAATGGTTTCCAATTTACCTTCTTTCCCACCTCCTTCTCCATCTTAGTTAAATATTCTTTAACAACATTGCTACCTCTTGTATTGTCTAAGAAAATTCTTAAATGGAGTTTCGACTGACATGCCTGAGCTAACTTTCCTTGAAGAGGAACCCAAACATCTGCTAAATCTGATATATTAGTTCTCAGAAAATTGATTTCACAATGCCCCAGAGATGTAGCTTCATCAAAAGGTCCATCAAAATCAAAAACTTCCACATCCAGCATGGATGGAGGTTCATCCATTGCATCAAATTCAAATATTTCTGCAGTACAACGAGGTTGCAATAAAAAATAAAAAATTCAATCAAATGAACAATCGTATTATAGAGAACAAACTATAAATAGATTTTAACAAAAAATGGCCCACAGTTTGCAAATTGCAGTCCTTATTACAGAGTGAACTTGGACCTCTAAACAAAACACTGATATACATATAAATTATAATAGACTTAAGAGAACATGAATTTACCATTCCACTGAGGATTAGATTTCTGGAACTTGATTGAGCTGATTCTAGTTTTTCCATTACAACTAAAGACCACATATGGATCAGAGAATCCACTTGAATCAACAGCTGCCAAATTGTTTCCTTCAATCAAGGCAACAGTAAGCAACCATCCATCGCCTTGTGCTTTAACTCCATGGTCACTTCCTAAAGTTGACAACGTAAAACAGTTAAATTGCATTTTATATGTAGAAAACATAATTAAAAAAAACATATCCATATTGAGAGGACAGATGGAATAGTTTTCTGGGGAAGTTGAGTCGTGTCAATAGAATCCAAAACCAAGAAGGCTTCTAATAAGGGAAAGATAATTACTACTATCTGGATCTGAGAAACAAAATAGGTAGTAAAATAACATACATGCAGCTCTATCAGACAATAATAAATACATTGAATAGACATCTCCAACTTCCAGATAGAGAGCAGACATCATAGGCTATGGCTTAGCGCTAGCAAAGTCAATAATAGAATGTGATCATTACCTTTTTGTGCTCTAGCCTGCATGAAGCGTGAAATCAACCCTAGCACCCGTTCGCCTTGAAGAACCAAGAACCCACACACAATCACTTCACCAATTGAATCTGGCAAGTCTAACCCAACAAACTCAAGTCCTTGGATCACGCTAGGTGGGGCAAGCCAGATATGCACAAGCACGTATATTCCCATAATAATAGTGGATAACATGGTAAAATTAGCAAAATATCGAACTGCTAGCTTCCAATCTGACTGTGGCTCCACCTGCAGAGCTGCCAAAACCTGTTCCTTATTGGAAGCAATGTCCTTTGCATCAACTGTCTTAACTTGTTGCGATAAAAAATTTATGTAGTGCTCAAAACTTTCCTTTAGACCTAGCCGGGCTCCACCTTCTATCATAGCCTTCATCATAGTGCTCTGCAGAAAATTCGTTCTCCAGGATAACACTAATCGGGAAGACTGTTCTCCGGATGGCAGCTCAGGTCCAGGTGTGATGCAATAAAGCAATTCTGTCTTAAAGCAGCTTCCATATGGAACATCTGGAGTGCTCACACTTGCTAAAACTGCGAAAACATTCCCATCGGCTTTTAGATATGTTTGCTCCTCGGTTCCTCTTGTAGCCTTAACTAATTTGGTAGCACCCTTAAGATAGGTAAGTAATCTTTTCAAGCTCTCACCACTGTTCTCAAATTTCCAAGGTCCTATTTGCAGTTCTGTGGTTCCTTGCAGTTCTGTTACAGTTCTATGAAAGTTTGAATCTGGCGAAAAGAGTAAAGAGTTCAGGTCTTGTGGTGCAATCAAATAGAGTTGGTCTAGAATTATCCCTCCAGGTAAATTGCTTGGAATTTCACTTCCTTGATCTCTTGATTCCATTGTTTTCATTGCTTCTTCAAAACTGCCAGAGGAGGACTCCTCATCACAATTTGGCTCAGGAATCTCGGGTCTGACAGTTTCAGGTACCTCTGGCAAGTCAGGGGCTCTACTATAGGTGTTGGATGCATTATCTTTATTGAATATTTGAGCAATTCGGCCTGCAAAGGATTGTACATGCAACTTTTCTTCCTTGGAAGAAGCAACTTCTTCTAATCTCATTGGGGAAGGTGACCTCACCGGGATGCTAGAAGACCTTAAAGGCGAGTCATTTGTTGAATCAGCAAACTTCCTCAAGGGGGTTATGTGGTCACTAAGAGTGTGCGAATCAATGAAAGAACTGCTTTGAGACAAACATATGGAGAGAAGGATGTCACCTACAGAGAAGAAGAACAAAATAAAATAAATGACAATGAGTAGTTCGGGCAAAAATAAGAACGAGAGAAAAAATTCAATTAGTTTTTGGGGGAGGAATCACATTTGCGCATTAACAATGAGTTAATGAAAGCAGACTATCAAAACCATAAAAATGAAGACAGCCCATATTATATACCATTAAAAGCATATTGCATTACTTTCATAAAGTCTCACATGCTATGCCAGAATTGAAGGCTGAATTAGTTAAATTTTGATTAGTTTTCGCATTTCGGGACTAGTACCCAAAATGGATATTGAAAATTAATTGAATGGAACTTGAATTCTAACATCACATCAGGAAAGCAAAAAAATCCTAATTTACAGCTTCAAATTTTAGGACATACATCAAAGGGAAAAGCCGAACACAAGTAATCATAAGTGTCAAAAAACAAGATAAATGAAAGGTCAGAATAAACATATACCACAGTCCTTGTTCTTGGACTTCTTGTTCTTGGGCTGCAAGGAATACCAGGCAGTCCCAAGTGACTTTTCAAAGGCATCCAAAACGTGAGAAACAGAAACTTTGATTTGACCAATAAAATCATCAATTGAGTACTTGTCTTCATCCAAAACAGAGACGACGAGCTCTTCCTTCAAGTCCTCGACTTTAAAAGTAAAATCTTCGCACCAAGTCGGGTTTAAGCACTTCTTAACCACTTTACTCCTGAACTTCTGCTTTCCCAGCTGCAGTTTCACATACGGATCACTGAACCCATTTGGATCCATCGCCGGTATATTTCTCGCTTCGATTACGCGTACCAAGAGCTTCATTGCCAATCCACACACAAAAACCCAACTTGATCCCCAAACCCACTTCAATTCAATTCAAAAAATATTGTTGTAACGAATGGTGTTAATTGAATGTATATATATGAAAGACAAGGGGTTTTGCACGTGGTTACAGACGATGTACATAAACAATTTTAATGACATTGACAAATCCACAAAAGAAAATTAAAACAATAAAAATAAAAATAAATAATGGAATGAAGCGGAACAGAGAGAAAGACAAGGGTGTATAAGTCTGAATGAAGTATGTGTTTTGGTGGCCGAGAAAACATGTGATTCGAATGGAAAAGGAAACTGATGGAGGATGTGAAACTGGGAAAATGCGAAAAATTGGAAGGAAAATGGAAAAGGAGAGGACGATTGATGCAATGGAAAGGAATGAGAGAGAGGGAGAGAGATTGAAAGGAGAAATTGGAAGAGAATGATAGATTTGGATAATAACAATGGAGGAGATTCAACAAGCCCAAATGAAATCCTCCAAGAAAGAAAGAAAGAAAGAAAGAGCGACTTTTCTCTCCCCCGTTTTCAATTTGCAATTGCGCGTTCGAGTTAGACTCAACGACTTTTTTAACATTAAAATAATTACTTGTAATTTTTTAATGATTGAATTTCCTTAGTAATCTTATGACAATATGAAAGAATTTGACAAATCTTATAATTTAAATTATTTATTTTATTATATTTGATGTTAAAAATAAATGGTCTGTCTTTAAAAATATATTTATTCGTACTTTTTCCGAGATACATGTATAATAAAATAAAGGAAATCTTTTTAGAGTCTTTGATATTAATTTTATAATATAAAAAATATTTAATATTTTTATAATGTTTAAGATCTCTCAACATCTATCCAAAGAAATTTTGATTCTAGAAAATTTCTCTCCAGAATTTCTCTAGACTTCCCAGATAAATTTTGGACTTCTCAAAGAATTTCTCTAAGTTCAAATCAGAGAAAATTAAAATTTTTCTTATTTTAAACTTGACAAATCTAGAGAAAATTGAAATTTATTGAGCTTTGTTCACAGAGAATTGAAATTTCTCTGGCTCTGTTCATAGAGAATTTCTCCGACTTTGTTCACAAATTTCTTTGTGTTTGTTCACAATTTTAAATAAGAGAAATTTTAATCAAACCAAAATTCTCTGTATTTGTTCACAATTATAAATCAGAGAAAATTAAGTATAATGACAAACAAGAAAAGAAGAAAATGAGCGATTGAAAGGTGAAGATAAAATTTATTTTCTCATTTCTTTTATGTTTCTGAAATGTTTCCAATATGTTTCCATTTCCCCACTAATTGAAACAACATACCCCAAAAAAATGTTCATCCTTGCATGATTAACATGTTAAGATAGGGGAACCTAAAACTCAATTGCTAGTATCATGTTTTCAGTTCTAAATTTGTTTGAAAAAAAATCAATGCAAAACAAAAGCTATATAAGCCAGAAATGATCGAAGAGTTTTAAGAAACTCACAAGATGGACCTTGTAAGCAACTTAGCCAAATTTCGAGTCCACTTCTCGTATTATTTAGAAGATTGAAGAATACCTGTGAGCCAGACAACCTTAGCTGCAGTACAGGCTGTTGCAACTATAGCCTCTATTGCAGCTGCTGTCATGATGGCAACAACCATCGCATGCTTTCTCCGCTCCTCTCTTGCTTCACTTATTATTCTACGCGGTGTTGCAAGTTTTAGGTATTGTTTTGGCTTAGTGATTGGAATCTTCATCAGAGCAATCATCCTTCTCATCGTATTCCTCCTCTCTCTTACGCTATTTGAAACCCTAGAGAGAGAGAAGAGAGTAGAGATAGAGGAAAATAGAGAGAGAATGAGAGTGTAGGTGTAATATAAGGGTATGAGAGTGAGGGACCTTAGACTATAAAAGAAAATATTGTGAACCTATTCCATTATTAAAAATTAGAAAGGGATGGTAGACTAATTTTCCCTAAAATAAAAATGTTACCATTATCTAATTGAATTAATCAATTTTTTTTTTAATGAATGATCTGTATTGAAGGTTTTTTTTTTTTTTTTAATGAATAATCCATATTGAATGTTTTATAAAATGAATGATTTGAATTATTGAAATAAGATCCATGGTGGGACCCACAAATTCTCTTACATTGATACATAACATAAGGCAAAACAATATTTTTTAATACACTGTGTCTTTTTTTTTTTCTTTTTTTTCTTTTTGATTTGTGATTTTTTTAATTTAAAATATAATATCATACAAAATTTAAGATCTCCCTTACAATAAATTATATATTAATATGAATGAGACACATCTCTATATATAAATTTGATCGGTATAATATTGACTTTTATTCAATATAGTAATTAGCCTTTAATATTTTTTAATATTAAAATAGACATTCATTTGTGAATTAAGGTCGATTTTGAGAAGTCATACTTTAAAAAAAATAATTTTTTTTTTTCAATTTTTACATTTTCTTTTATAAAAAATTTAAAAATTATTTAAAAAATTAATTTTCAAAACAGCCCTAAAAGTCATCAAGTACATATATAAGTGGAATAATGACTTGGACTCCCTTTTTATTCATCCCCATGACCCCCTCTTCTCATGATTAGTCCCTTTTTCTTTTTCTTTTCTTTTTTTTCCTTCTCCTCTAAACACCACCCGCCACCACGTGTGTGAGGAAATGGTGGGAGTGGTGATTCGAGGGGGTCTAAGTACATATATAAGTGGAATAATGACTTGGACTCCCTTTTTACTCATCCCCTCGATCCCCTCTTCTCATGATTGGTCCCTTTTTCTTTTTCTTTTCTTTTTTTTCCCTTCTTCTCTAAACACTACCCGCCACGTGTGTGTGGGGATGGTGGGGGTGGTGATTCGAGAGGGTCTCAATCATCACCCATATAAGTGTCCTCATAGGTAGGGTTAAAAGTAGCAAAAGTGGGGTTTGGTATTAAAATATGTTGTCGGTCGTTAGGCTCGACGATGCAATGAGAACTCATTTTTTATTGTATAATTTAATCATAATTTTTTTTAAGATGAATTATAAATAGATTTGTTTAAAATATGATATTTTATAAATTTAAAAATTATATATCATCATTTTATCAATAAATTATTAAGTCAATTAATAATTTTTTAAGATGTTAAAAATATATTTTAATTAATAATTTAAGTAATTTTATTACAATAATTATAAATTTTATTTTTTAATTAATTCTGTTATATAAAAACTTTTTAATTTTTAAAATTATAAAAATAATTTATATTTTAAATAAATTTTAAATGATGTATTTATAATTTATTCAAAATTTTATATACAATATGGCATTATATATTAATTCAAAATTTATTATTATTATAAGAATACCATAATAAAATAGAGACTTTTGAATATAGAATCTTCTAGTAAAGTATTAGAGTGATGTTAATAAATTCAAAAATTGTTAATTGTCACATATTAATTGAAAAGAGTTAAAAATAAATAAATCAGGAGTAATATTAGAGATTATAAAAAAAATATCAAAAAGATGATCATGAAATATTCTCTATTTTTAAATTACACATATAATAAAATATCACATACTAATAAAAAAATAAAAAAATTATAATATATTTTATAATATTTTTTTCATGATTCTCAGTACTATACATAAATAAGAGCTTTTGTTTTATATGCGTGGAGTGCACTCTTGTTTCTTTGACTCCCATTTAACGCGGGGAACTTCGTATACCTCCTCATCGACTTGGACACTACTGGACTGGACATTTATCAATACAAACTTATACAAATAATAATAATAATAATAAAACAGAAACAATACTGCATATTTATCAATGCAAACTTATACAATTATCAGAAACAAAGATTATGGCAAAGTTTGGGAACTTGTAAAAAAGTTAAAAAGTCAAAAAATTACTCAAAAAGTTAAAAAGTTAATACTATTTACCAAAAGTCAACAATTACGGCTGCACAATTCCCAATTCGAATTTTTCCTTACAAATCAATTTTTACAATTTTTTATTACATATTGTTCCATAAAAAGTTAAAAAGTTAACCAAAACATCCATATTTTCAATCTCAATTTTTTAGTCCAAAAAGATAAAAAGTACACTTATTTAGGACACCCCAAATAACTCCATATGTTTTCGAGATAAATCACATTGATCACCTGTAACTATCACAAAATTATATTCAGTGCGTTTGCTTTGAATTTTTTGGATTGAGTCACAAAATTATATAATAAGTGTCATAAAATTGTATTAAGTGTCACCAACTTAGCCAAATATAATTTTTTTTAGTGAGGCAAACATAAAACTAATATAAGTAATGCGTAAATACAAGAAATTTTATGATAAATATTATTTTTAAGTGCGTATTATATATTTCAGTTATGATATTTAGTATTTGGTTGTGATTTATTGTGATATTATTTATAACTTGGTTAGACACATTATGATTTTACTTATGGCTCATTGTGATGTTGGTCACAACATTATTTTAGTTATGATTGAAAATGTCTTTAGTTTTATCTTATTTATTATTTAATTATGACTATCTTTTTTTATAGTTATAATTTTAAAAGATTCATTTATGACATTTGTAATTAGGAGTGTGCGCAGTACGGTTCGGGCGGTTTGATAGTTAAATTACAAATCGAATGGTGGGTTAGCAGATTGACAAATTGCGGTTTGGACAGTTTTTAGCAGATTGAAGAATATTCTAACTAATTATCATACATTTGCATAATATATAACACTAATTTGTATAATATTTTTTAAATATATAACACAAAGTAATTTTACATAATATGTTTCATATATATAACCATTAATTTATAATAAATTTTATATCTTAAATCTCTTCTATACTCATTTTTACATTGATATTTTATTGAAAGTCGATTTTAACGGATTAGATGATATTTTATACAATCTTATTTGTAATAACATGACCTGCAAACACATGAATAATAGGAATAAAATGTACAATAATATAAAAGAAATATATATATTATTGACACGATTAAATAATGATTGCTAAAAATAAGAGTGTATTAGGTGAATTAAAATTTTAATAAAATATAATATAATTATATCAAATTTATAAAAATTTTATATTTTCAAACTTAACAAGAAGTTGGTGTAATTTATCATATATATACATATATATAACTACTTCTAGGAACAAGTCATGGGTTCATCTGAACTCAAAGTCAAGTGCTATAAATAGTTTTTTTTTTAAATTTATTTATTTTATTTTTTATTTAAAAAAAAACAAAAACAAAAACAAAAAAAACTTTGAGCATACACTGGACATTTTGTATGCAAAATTAACGCAAAGAACCTTCCTTGAACGTCCATTTGTAGTCCATTTCAATCCACAGCCATCCCCAAATAAATGACATCAATTCTCAATCCGTTGCTGAATTTGCATTTTTTTCTTTCTCACTTTATACAGTTCACACCCACAAATAACTTTCATTTGGAGTCCATTTCAATCCAGGGCTATCCCCACATAGATGACATCAATTCTCAATCCGTTGCCGAATTTGTGTGTTTTTCT